CATGGGATAGGTTAATATATTTTTTCATGCATAATTGGTTATCCAAAAAATCAATTTTCCGAACAACCCCAGTCCCCAATTGATTTGGATAATCAATGCTCTACTGTATTTTGTAAATACAAAATATACATTCTGAACTAACAAAATCTTCTTATCCAAAATCTTAGATTTATTTAAACTTTCTTATCTACAGAAATGTTCTTGGTAAGACTATGAATTATAATATTAATCCAATATGCAAAACAATTTAAGAATAATAAACAAAGACAACAGGTTTAACTATCATTTTAAGTAAATCAAGATGGAAAAACTTAATTATCTGCAAATGCCAATCCATGGATAATTTTTTTCTCTTTTGATCCATCTTTAAAAATGTACTTACTTTTAAATTTGTAAAATAGTATTAATTTATATAGCTTTTTTACATTTTCATCTTGGACAATGTTATACTAAGATATAAAGTCTGAATGAAAATTCTTAGCATATCTAAAAATGGAAAAGGGCACTAAGAAATAAATGAATCAATGAGACCAAAATAGTAGAAGTTATCTATGGATTCATAATATATATGATTAGTATATCTGGATTATTAAACTGAATTATATATTCTTTGCATCTTGTATGATATTTGTTTAGGAATATTAATTGACTACTTTTATTTACATATTATTGTAAGGTTTATAAAATGTTAAGATTAATTCATTCTATTAATCTGGAGATTACCTTATATTCACTTTATCAATTTGCTATTATTATATTCTGTTTGCAATTTTTTGTAAAAAGAAACTGCATTTATTGATGAACATAATTCATTACAGATAGATACTTGCTAGACAAGTCAATAAAAGAATAAAAGAGCAAGCAACCAACACTAAACATGATATATTATTATAAGACAGCAATAAATGTATCATATGTGTAAAAGAAAAAAAACATCAAAAATATATTTGTGATAAAAAAAATGTTTATAATTAATCCATTTAAATATTCTAACTATTTAAAAAATCATGTAATCCCAAAACTGATTTTTAACAAAAGAAAAATGTTTTAGGAACTCCTTAAGATGAACAATAAGCTCATTCATACTCAGTTGTGAAAACTACAATTTTAATTAGTTTATTTCATATGTAATATGTTGTACAATTTTACCATAATTTTTTTTTATAAATATTCTAAAAGAAAACAAATCAGCCATATTAAAATGCAAGAAGTTTCCAAAATCTTGATAAAAGCAGGATACAATAATAAACTTTTTACTTACAAAAAAATCATTAACAGAAATATTTCCAAATGTCCTTTGCATACACTTTTGTTCATAGTTTTTTTTTAACCTCTTTCATTATGTTTAATGTTATGAATCTGTCTCTCTAAATAACAATTAGATGGGCTGACACAATATGCTAAAACAACATAAGCCTGTCTGGCAAAGAAGACAGGTTTATGATTTGCAGTGGATAAACTGAAATGTTAAATAATGTGGATCATTCATTAAAACATTCTTGCAAGATTATAACTTTGTTAAATTTTTTAATCTGTTATATGATGTACAGTACATTTAAATTGCTTTTATTGAAAAATTTAGATATATTTAATACATTTTACAGTGTTTTATATATTTGATGTGGCTGAAAAAATACTAATGTGACAGGTTTATCTTTTCAAGGGCAAAAAGATATAGTGAATTTAATTTATGATTCTCCCACAAATAGGAATGACAATGGAATTCATACAGCTTGTTCGAGAGTGTGATAAACTTGAATCCTTGCTATTCCAAATATTGTATTTTGAAATAAACCGTTTCCTACATTAAATTCAGAATTAAATCACAAGTTACAGTCAAATTTTTTAAAAATAAGTTTTACACATTTGCTTTTTGTTTGCAAAATTGAAGCAAGCCTAATTTTTTAAAATAATTTATTACACTGTTTTCCCTTTCAGTTTCATGAAATTAATATTCTAAAATTTTTACTGATGATGAACTGAAAAGTTTATCATTGGCAAAATTCATATAACTTGATTGAGTATGTCTTGTTAATATTTCTTCTAAACTTGCAAGATTCTCTCAATGAATCAAAAGACTTAAAACATTCACAAAATTCCAAATACTTTCATCTTTTTAATGTCATCCAATAAAGCAGTGAAATAAAGTATTTTTACATTTTTATGCAATGAAACTTGCACAAAATCTGTATTACTTCAAAAATGTGATAGAAGTGAGACTGCATAAAAGTATTGAACCATGCACATGACTAAGCAAAATAATAATGATAAAAACTAAAATTTATTTCAGTTGAACTTAAGAAAAATTTAAATCAATCTGAAACCATTACTAAATAATAATTAGTCACACAAATGTAACACTTCACTCAAAATATTAGTCATTTAATCATTGCTACATATCCAAACTATACTGATTTCATTTACAGAATAGTCTAGCCTCATTGCACTGTACATGCATGCAAGGCTACTAAAGATTAGCCTGCGTTTCATGCATGTCAGTTATTGATCAGAAAAGTATTAAAATCATGATTTGAAAGATTTCTTAGTTTATTCAATAAACTTTAAATAAATAAGCTAAATTGAAATTTTCAAACATTTAGGAAGGATAGGCTTTGTCAAAAACCTGTTGGATATTTTGCCACTGATAATTTGTCTGTTTTGTAATTGTAGTTTAAGACTACAGAATACAAACTACTGTGACTGTACTAGAATAGACTAATGTATGTATATCAAAAAGTCTGATTTTGTAGAACGTATTTAGATGCACACAGTACATATTGCTTAATAATAATCATCTATTATTATTGTTTTGACAAAAACCTAAGTGATAGTTATATATTACATTGATTTAGCTAAAAAGATAATAGTTAATCAATATCCTGTTTGACATTTCATTAATGTAATAAGATACTTTGTTATTATTGTTTGCTTCATATCTAGTAGAATCCATTATCATTTTTGGTGATTGGCTATTCCATCCAATTTTTATACTAGATTTGTCACAATGGTTTAGACACAGAAGACAACTTTTACTCCTTATAATAAATATCCTTTATTGAAATCTAAATGCATTTTGAACTTTTTTAGTCCCTCTTCAGTCAATTTTACAGTTGTTATTCCAACATTTGATAACCTTACAATAAAATTTAAAATCATGTAAAACATTGTATATTTATATAACTTTAAACTTTAACTTTATATAGCATTTTAAAAAATTTCAATAAAGACATAGTTTTAATTCAAAATAATCTCATAGCACTTTTAAAACATCTAGATGACAAACTTATACATTCCCATATAAACATACAAGTTTGTCAGCTAAATATTTTAAAAGTCTTATGAGATTATTATGAATGTAAACTATGTCTTTATTGAAATTTAAAAAAAAATGTTTAGTGTGAGAAACCAGGGATTACAGGGGTTACAGGGATTCACTGTTATTCCCTTGATCAGCATTGGGATGGTAAGTCACGCTCAATTGTCACTGGATGGCTATACCATGTTAGAATTATGTAGGAGGGCTTTTTTAACATTGAGTGGAGAGGTGCAATGAATCCGTCAATAGGGTGACTGCTCTCCAAATAAAGACAAGTTACTAGGTTAACAAATAACAAAAGTTAAATGAGTAACAAAATGGGGTTAAATACATCTATGGCAGTAACAATCGACAAGATAATTACTTAACAACATAAGTTTATATTGGATACTTCTTAAATGGTCCAATGTCTCCTAATCCTGTTTATGGGAATGTCCATGAAATGTACCTTGATCATCTTGGAGGAGAGACAGGAGATGGGAGCTGGCGAGATGAGAATGGTAATGGATGGAAGCTTGGCCTCTAGCTTCTTGGGAATGTCTGCCTCAAACTTTGAGTGCATGCACTTTTTATACTCCTAAGTAAGGGAGGAAAATCAGATGATGTAGTCCTAAGGTCAAGATGTGTCACCAGTCCATCTGATATAGGCCATAATGAAGTGATGACTTGGCCGGATTGTTGATACTTTTATTCCCAGGTGTTACGACTCTCTCTACCATATAAGGCAAACAAATTCAAAGTTCTTAGATGTCATCAACGAGATGTTGTGACTTATCACAGAAATGTATTCAAAACAGCGTTAAAGATTGTTGATTTGTAAGTTATTCGATCATCTTTTATCTATCAGACAAGAGGGCAACAGAAATGCCAGATGGAGGGAAAAAAGTGGGTTTTTTCCACTTCATAATTACATGTTACAAATTTGATTAATTAATTGCCTCCCACAGGATCTCACATTTAGTAATTTGCCTTTAAAGTTATATAAATATACAATATTTTATAAGATAAATTTTATATAAATTTAAATTTTATTGTAAGGTTATCAAATGCTGAAATAACAATTGTAAAATTGATTGAAGAGGGACTAAAACAGTCCAAAATGCATTTAGATTTTAATAAAGGATATTATAAGGAGTAAAAGTTGTCTTCTGTGTCTAACCATTGTGACAAATCTAGTATAAAAATTGGATAGAATAGCCAATCATCAAAAATGATAAAGAAGACACTTTGTGTTTTTATGCTTAAATATAAACACAACAATTATATATGTTCATTAAATCTAAAATAACACTTTAATATTTTTCTGAAATATATAAATAATTATATTGTGGACTAGATTAATTATTAAAATAATTAAAAACTGTAGCTATTAATAGAATAATACATCAAGAAATTAGAAAAATAACTTTGATGGATCATATAAGAAAAAATTATTTTCAACTTTTCAAAAGTCAAAATATTCACTTACATGTTACTGAGAACAGTTTTTTATTTCTTTAATTTGAAGATTATTTGATTAACTATGTTTGATTTTTAAATTTAAAAGTAAACTTTTCAAATTTTTTTCTGTTAAAAACTATTAGCACATTCCATTACATAAAGTTATAGTATGACAAAATATTTTATATTTCATTTCTTAATTAAGAATATGTCTTTAAATTTCAATAGTAAAAGTTATACTCACAGCTTTAATTTCTCTTTCTTGTAAATAACTGTTGCAGGAATATTCATCATTCCTGAAAGGACACTTAATAACTGCTTCTTCTGAATAAAGTACTGTGTTGGATAAGCATTCTCTAAAATAAAGAAATGAATTTTCATAGTGCAACTGCTTCAGTATTTAATATTTTTGATATTTTTTGTTATTATAGAATAAAGAGTTATATTTATCTCAATTCTTGTCATTAAATAATTTTCACAACTTATTGATAGTATGAAACTTATTTGTTCAAAATATTTATTAAGATTTGAAAACTTTTGCTTCATTATTATTCCTTTTTTATTAAACCGTATAAAAGTACATAAATTTAATTTTTGGAAATAATTTTAATTTAAAAAAAATTGAATTTTTTTAAATTAAAAGATTATTAAAAATTGGAGCCTGGCATTATGATGATGTCACAATAACAACATCACCAGGATTATCATCTTTTTTGAAGCATTAGAAGACATTATATTATATTTTATTTATGCAATTATATTTTTTCTGTATGTCTTCTAATGTCTTTAAAAAAGATGATAATCTTGGTGATATTGTTTATGCAAATAATATTAGCAAAACCATACTGTAGTTGGTAACTTACAAAAAACTGTACATTACTATATACTGCATCGTTATGAAATTTTTTTATTTCATTTCCTATAATGTAATCTCAGCTTAGTAAAACTTCTGTATAGAGTTTATCATAATAAATTATTGTAGTGTATATCCATATTCCACATATTGTTTCTACATTGTCAAAGAAAATGTCCTTCCATCTCAGACTTTTGTAATCTCAAACAATCTTTACTCCTATTAGTCTGAATTAGAAAGGTTTACTGTATAATAAGAATATTTAATCATAAACATATAACTGCTCACTACACTTTATACCCTACAAATTCAATAATTTAAAAATAATAAGTAATAATAATATACAGTAGAGCGTCGATTTTCCAAAAGTCAATCATCCGAAAGATTTCCAGTCGGCAAATTTAAATTTTCGCCAGTGCTGTGGAGCTTCAATCTTTGGCTATGTCTTGGGCTACTCAAATATTTTACGCTTTTGATNAAATATGAATAATTATAAAAAACCAGTTTAACTTACCTACAGAAGAGATGCAGACAATCCTTTAACATTATTCCTTCTCCTGCCTCAACACCAATAAAACAAATTGGGCAGTCAAAATATTCTAAATTTTTTATTAAGTCTTGATCATCTATTTCCATCCAACGTTTATAGTTTTCTTTTGCAACATCTACTTTATAAGAGGTATCCTGTTAATAAAAAGAAAATCTTAATAAGTCACGTAACTTAATGATTAATTTTTATCATCATTTATAATATTATATAAGAACTCTGATTATATTCACAAAGAGTTAAATCATAGATGATATAAAATTAAACAGAATGTATTTTCTATAGAATATCATTATGATTAAAGAAACATGTGAAATAATTTTTGATTTTATAAACATATTAAGAATAAGCTCATGCCAAATATGTGGACAGTTAATTCACGTTAAGTTGAAGTTGTAAGGACTGGAAAAAAAAAACAGTTATCATTAATTCAACAGATTGAAAAAGCTAAAACAGTACAATTACAGTAAAATGTTGTTAAAATAGTTTAATTATCAGATAACGTATTGTACAAAATGATTAAAAAATTAACTGTAAATGAAATATAAATCTTACATTAGCAACCTTTCATAAAATGTAGTTAACTATCCTATTATTAATCCTCGGCTTTATACTTGTCAGGAAATTATCAACCTTTCTGCAAAAATACATAAACAAATGTATCAGCACTGTTTTTACTTTCTAGGTTTCACTGCAATGACTGTGGTTGCTTTGGCATTTATTGGGGCAAAAGAATCCCAGTTTCTTTATCTTCTAAATCATCCTTTTGCTCTTCCTTCTTTTTGAAATCCATTATAATATTCTCATCAGACAAAATTTCACAGATAAGCATATTTTTGTCAATATTCAAAAATTCCTCTAACCTTGTCACTACACAAAGATTTATTTATTAAATCTCTGTTATTTCATCAACTTCAGGAAAGTTGTCATCATCAGTTAAGAAATGTGGATTTTGTTTCCACCCCAAAGCATTAGAATTCATTGTTCCATGCACTGAAAAGCATTGTAATTACTTGTAATATATCAACTTAACTACTAACTCTTTTCTCTATGTTGTCAATGGCCTTCTGCACTAGTCTTTTCTGTATGAATGTTTAAGACATTTCATAATTCCATGATCCACAGGCTGAAGCTTTGAGGTAGTGTTGGCTGAAATAAAAAGCCACTTAAACTGGTTCATGGTGAATGGTTATTTAAAATAATGTGAATTTTTGTACTTTCCTATCACCAACAAAGGAAGCTTTTCTGTTCCAGCAGCACTAGCTCTGACTATCACAGTTGAACATTCTTTACTTAATTTTCCACCTAAACATGATTTATTTTTAAACATGTTGTTCCTAACTTAAGCCTGGTACTCACATGTGGAAACGGACAACAGAAACGGTAGTCATTCCATTGTCTTTCCGCATTATACTTCTTGCTATACAGTAATACTCCAAACTAACACGATAGGTGGGACCGAGCGATAACCGCGTAAGTTGGGGTATAATTTCACAATTTGTGTAAAATCTAAATCGGATGTATGTAAGCTAATAAATGTTCTCGTTAATCTTATCTCGTCTTTTGATTCATTCACAGTTATAAGAAACAGAGTCTCTCGAGTCTCCACAGATATAACAAACACAGAAATAAATAACACAAAATAAATTGTAGCTATATGTTGATTCCGTACGACACATCCAAACATGTAAGCCAGGGGTGTCCAACCTTTTTGTTTCTCTGGGCTGCATTGGAAGAAGTCAAGGAGTTTTCGGCCACAAGTATATATAATACAGTAGAGCGTTGTTTATCCGAATCAATCAGGGACTGAGGTTGTTCGGATAACTTATTTTTCGGATAACCGATTATGTACGAAAAAATATATTAACCTATCCTGTGTTGAAATTTTNTTTGCGTAAGTCGGGGTAGCGTAAGTCGAGGTATTACTGTATTTGTTATATCCTTGTTTTGTTTTCATCATTGACAGTTGTAAAATTCAAATATCAATAAACTCTGGGTTTGCGTAAGTCGGGGTAGCGTAAGTCGAGGTATTACTGTATTTGTTATATCCTTGTTTTGTTTTCATCATTGACAGTTGTAAAATTCAAATATCAATAAACTCTGGGTTTGCGTAAGTCGGGGTAGCGTAAGTCGAGGTATTACTGTATTTGTTATATCCTTGTTTTGTTTTCATCATTGACAGTTGTAAAATTCAAATATCAATAAACTCTGGGTTTGCGTAAGTCGGGGTAGCGTAAGTCGAGGTATTACTGTATTTGTTATATCCTTGTTTTGTTTTCATCATTGACAGTTGTAAAATTCAAATATCAATAAACTCTGGGTTTGCGTAAGTCGGGGTAGCGTAAGTCGAGGTATTACTGTATTTGTTATATCCTTGTTTTGTTTTCATCATTGACAGTTGTAAAATTCAAATATCAATAAACTCTGGGTTTGCGTAAGTCGGGGTAGCGTAAGTCGAGGTATTACTGTATTTGTTATATCCTTGTTTTGTTTTCATCATTGACAGTTGTAAAATTCAAATATCAATAAACTCTGGGTTTGCGTAAGTCGGGGTAGCGTAAGTCGAGGTATTACTGTATTTGTTATATCCTTGTTTTGTTTTCATCATTGACAGTTGTAAAATTCAAATATCAATAAACTCTGGGTTTGCGTAAGTCGGGGTAGCGTAAGTCGAGGTATTACTGTATTTGTTATATCCTTGTTTTGTTTTCATCATTGACAGTTGTAAAATTCAAATATCAATAAACTCTGGGTTTGCGTAAGTCGGGGTAGCGTAAGTCGAGGTATTACTGTATTTGTTATATCCTTGTTTTGTTTTCATCATTGACAGTTGTAAAATTCAAATATCAATAAACTCTGGGTTTGCGTAAGTCGGGGTAGCGTAAGTCGAGGTATTACTGTATTTGTTATATCCTTGTTTTGTTTTCATCATTGACAGTTGTAAAATTCAAATATCAATAAACTCTGGGTTTGCGTAAGTCGGGGTAGCGTAAGTCGAGGTATTACTGTATTTGTTATATCCTTGTTTTGTTTTCATCATTGACAGTTGTAAAATTCAAATATCAATAAACTCTGGGTTTGCGTAAGTCGGGGTAGCGTAAGTCGAGGTATTACTGTATTTGTTATATCCTTGTTTTGTTTTCATCATTGACAGTTGTAAAATTCAAATATCAATAAACTCTGGGTTTGCGTAAGTCGGGGTAGCGTAAGTCGAGGTATTACTGTATTTGTTATATCCTTGTTTTGTTTTCATCATTGACAGTTGTAAAATTCAAATATCAATAAACTCTGGGTTTGCGTAAGTCGGGGTAGCGTAAGTCGAGGTATTACTGTATTTGTTATATCCTTGTTTTGTTTTCATCATTGACAGTTGTAAAATTCAAATATCAATAAACTCTGGGTTTGCGTAAGTCGGGGTAGCGTAAGTCGAGGTATTACTGTATTTGTTATATCCTTGTTTTGTTTTCATCATTGACAGTTGTAAAATTCAAATATCAATAAACTCTGAAAACATTGAAGATATCCTGCATCCTGAAGTTTCAAATATTCAACCAAGAATTAACTTTATATGTAAAAACAAAAAAGCACATTCATCTCATTAGTTTGCAAATTTGTTTTTGTCCTTAAAAATATATATATAACAAGGAATTGTTTGAAATTTAACTAATTTCATTAATGAATAATTAAGACTATACAAAATAAATTTTGAATCATTTTTGCCTGTTATCATCTTTTTATTCCAGTCCAGGAACCACAAAACAATCAGCAACGTGAAGCAACATTTACACAAATAACTGATGAACACAATCAAAAAACTTACAATATTAAAAATGATCTCGACGTCAACCCTTTTCTGTAGGCTACAACGTCTACATTGTATAGTCTTAATTATTCATTAATGAAACTAGTCAGAATAATCCTGGGCTTCTTTGTACAATTATGAAATTTAACTGATAATAAATTTTAAAAATTTATGTTTTATTTGTATATTTATTTTATACTTATATGTACAGGTACTGTACATATATATAGGTTGTGGTAAAATGTTCTTAGGCAGAAAGTTTAAGAAACCTTGACCTTGAGTATCATTATCCTAAACTGTGCTATTAATTAATAATCCATACTGAAAATCCATTACTTCTGTTATAAGTTATATTTATGATTTACTGACTTTTTTGCATATATATTGAATAATAAACATTGCCATCTACTGTACTATAAAAATAAACATTTATCAAGAAGAATATTGTAGTCTACACTTAAAATAAATTTTACAGAATAATTTGTATTCAGATTTAGAAATAATTTGACCTTAAGCTTACATCTGAAAATAAATTATTTTATTAAAAGTAAAATAATTGACATTTTACATTAATGTATAACAATTGTATGTAATAACTAAAATGTAATTAAAAACGCTCTCTTTTTTGTGGATATTTAATATTTATTTTTATCCACTTCTATAAATTTTAAGTGAATATAATTAATTAATTTAACTATTTTATGAACTTTGTTATAGAGTTGCACAGTAATATTATTTATGGTCTTGTAATTTAGTTATTTTGAAAGCATTTTTATTGAATTTAATGCTTTCTCTACTGAAATTTTTTCTCAATGTTATTTTGAATCTTATTATGTTTATGATTAACTATATTTATTGTCAAAAAAAGTTTTGATCTGGTTTCTTTTCCTTATAAAATATTTAAATCTTAAAAATAAAAATGTAATCGTTTCTGTTAGCATGAATAAAATTTTGATACATTACTAACATATCTTGATTTTTGATAACAAAATAATTTTGTTCTGAGTACTTCATTTTGTGTACTTTGTTCACTTAGTATATTTTGGTATTACTGTTTTTTTTTTCTTATGGTTAATATGAAGCAAAAATGAAAGTTTTGTTGTTTTATTGTTGAACATATACAACAATTGCAGATGTGTACTTTTATCAAATATTACATTAAATGATGATGATTTAGATAGTAAAATTCTAATAATAGAAACTTAAAGAGATTTGTTCTCAACATTACTGATATTTTCTTCAAAAACCATTAAAAAATCCTACATTAAAAATTTATAAAAATGTAATTATACATTACATTTATAATTAAAGATACCTAAGACTTTTTGTTTTAAATTTACCTCCTTTTTTTCTAATGAAGTTTTAGATAAAATTTCATTCTTATGCTCATTCTTCGTTGTAAAATNTTAACTAATTTCATTAATGAATAATTAAGACTATACAAAATAAATTTTGAATCCTTTTGCCTGTTATCATCTTTTTATTCCAGTCCAGGAACCACAAAACAACCAGCAACGTGAAGCAACATTTACACAAATAACCGATGAACACAATGAAAAAACTTACAATATTAAAAATGATCTCGACGTCGACCCTTTTCTGTAGGCTACAACGTCTACATTGTATAGTCTTAATTATTCATTAATGAAACTAGTCAGAATAATCCTGGGCTTCTTTGTACAATTATGAAATTTAACTGATAATAAATTTTAAAAATTTATGTTTTATTTGTATATTTATTTTATACTTATATGTACAGGTACTGTACATATATATAGGTTGTGGTAAAATGTTCTTAGGCAGAAAGTTTAAGAAACCTTGACCTTGAGTATCATTATCCTAAACTGTGCTATTAATTAATAATCCATACTGAAAATCCATTACTTCTGTTATAAGTTATATTTATGATTTACTGTCTTTTTTGCATATATATTGAATAATAAACATTGCCATCTACTGTACTATAAAAATAAACATTTATCAAGAAGAATATTGTAGTCTACACTTAAAATAAATTTTACAGAATAATTTGTATTCAGATTTAGAAATAATTTGACCTTAAGCTTACATCTGAAAATAAATTATTTTATTAAAAGTAAAATAATTGACATTTTACATTAATGTATAACAATTGTATGTAATAACTAAAATGTAATTAAAAACGCTCTCTTTTTTGTGGATATTTAATATTTATTTTTATCCACTTCTATAAATTTTAAGTGAATATAATTAATTAATTTAACTATTTTATGAACTTTGTTATAGAGTTGCACAGTAATATTATTTATGGTCTTGTAATTTAGTTATTTTGAAAGCATTTTTATTGAATTTAATGCTTTCTCTACTGAAATTTTTTCTCAATGTTATTTTGAATCTTATTATGTTTATGATTAACTATATTTATTGTCAAAAAAAGTTTTGATCTGGTTTCTTTTCCTTATAAAATATTTAAATCTTAAAAATAAAAATGTAATCGTTTCTGTTAGCATGAATAAAATTTTGATACATTACTAACATATCTTGATTTTTGATAACAAAATAATTTTGTTCTGAGTACTTCATTTTGTGTACTTTGTTCACTTAGTATATTTTGGTATTACTGTTTTTTTTTTCTTATGGTTAATATGAAGCAAAAATGAAAGTTTTGTTGTTTTATTGTTGAACATATACAACAATTGCAGATGTGTACTTTTATCAAATATTACATTAAATGATGATGATTTAGATAGTAAAATTCTAATAATAGAAACTTAAAGAGATTTGTTCTCAACATTACTGATATTTTCTTCAAAAACCATTAAAAAATCCTACATTAAAAATTTATAAAAATGTAATTATACATTACATTTATAATTAAAGATACCTAAGACTTTTTGTTTTAAATTTACCTCCTTTTTTTCTAATGAAGTTTTAGATAAAATTTCATTCTTATGCTCATTCTTCATTGTAAAATTAACAGATGTATGGCTATTCAAGTCTGTAAAAAATTAATAATAAAAATAAATATATAATGAATAATAATCCATAGTAAAAATCGTCCTATTTTAATATCACATAAAATGTATTATTAACAATTGTAATTATCTGTTTTTCTTATTATTTATTTATTAATCTGTAATGTTTGGAAAAAATATATTAAAAATAATAATAATTTTTAAAAATCATATCAAAAGAAAATGAAATCTATCCTAACGGACTAATTAAAATTTTTAAATTTTAATTAGGTCATTTAAAATTTTAATTAAGTTTTCAATTTAATCAATTTTTTCACTCAATTTAAATTTTAATTAGTCCATTTCGTCTAATTAGAAAAAAAAAAATAACTTAAAAAAATCCAATGTATGTTATTGTGACATCATAATGCCAGGCTCCAATTTTTAAAAATTTTTTAATTTATAAAAATTATGCAAGTTCAAATCCAGAAAGTTTGTATATAATTAATTTGTCTTTGGCACCTAAGCTTTCTATATCTGGTTTTGATTTTCATCTAACTAACACCATTCTCGAGATTAATGAAGGACAGATGGATAGATGGAAGATGATAGTGGAAATGTACAGGTCTGAAATCTTAAAACTACTAACAATGAAAAGTTTCAGTGAAAAACAATGTAAATTTATAAAATGTTATTAGCATATTAATTATCGTCATATCTTTAAAAATTTTTAAATACCCATTAAAATCACTATTTAATGATACTAGATATTTTTTGTTCTTTGTTAATCAAACTATTTACTGTATCATATCCTACTGAAAATTTTCAGAAAAAGCAATTAAATAATCCTGAATTTTATTTAAACTTATTTTACTCTTAGCTTAATTATTAAACTAGTAGTACAGCGAAATTCCTTTAATCTGGCATTGCTGGGACCAACACAGTGTTGTTTTATCAAATATGCCACTTTATTGGAAGGTGCTAATTTTTCCAATTTTTTCAATTTCCTGGATATAATTTCTGATATCTTGCATATAAAACTGTACAAATCCACCTGTAATCTCAGACATTTAGAGCAAGTTGAAATAAGGCTGCCAGCAAATATACCACCATTAACTTTTGCGATGTAGATTCCTTCCCCAACATAGAAATTGTTCTATGAATTATAATCTTACTATCCTCTCCCCTCTTCCTCTCTTTCTTATGTCACCTTCCCTCTTCACACATGTACAGCAACCTCCTGTTGTTTCAACAGCTGTGAGGTCACTTAGCCTGATGATGCTGTTCATTCAACACAGGTGAAAACATTAGCTCTATCCCCATTTTTTTCTGCTAGTTATTTGGTTTTGGTGACTTTCTTATTATAACCAGTCATGAGTGGTTATCTAAATTATTTTTTAGTCACAGTTTAACTCACATGCCAGTTAAACTGTGATAAAAAAAATGGGGTTTCCAGTCTAATGTACCGATAACTCCCCATGACTAGTTCGGCATGCTAGCTAATCGAGTTTTCCAGCATACCAGATGCCGAGTTAATGGAATTTCACTGTATTATAAATTTGTTTATTGTATTTTTTGAAGCATTAGAAGACATGTACAGAAAAAATATAAATTTTTTCAAGTCTTTTCTTTACATCCTTTTACAGTCTATTTCAGAGGTAGCAGCAAAAACAGCTCAAAGATACAACAAATTCTTCATTAAAAACACCAATTATAGATTATTAAAGAATTAAAAAATCAAAACCAGATATAGAAAGCTTAGGTACCAAAGACAATTAATTATATACATTTATTAATTAATTATATACAAACTTCTATTCTGGATTCGAACTTGCATAATTTTTTTAAATTAAAAGATTATTAAAAATTGGAGCCTGGCATTATGATGATGTCACAATAACAACATCACCAGGATTATCATCTTTTTTGAAGCATTACAAGACATTATTTTATATTTTATTTATGCAATTATATTTTTTCTGTATGTCTTCTAATGTCTTTAAAAAAGATGATAATCCTGGTGATATTGTTTATGCAAATAATATTAGCAAAACCATACTGTAGTTGGTAACTTACAAAAAACTGTACATTACTATATACTGCATCGTTATGAAATTTTTTTATTTCATTTCCTATAATGTAATCTCAGCTTAGTAAAACTTCTGTATAGAGTTTATCATAATAAATTATTGTAGTGTATATCCATATTCCACATATTGTTTCTACATTGTCAAAGAAAATGTCCTTCCATCTCAGACTTTTGTAATCTCAAACAATCTTTNTATGAATTCAATGAAATATCTGTTTGTATGAATGTAAATTATAAACTTAAATATGTAAAATCATTTTCTTACCTATTGATTTTGTTCCAGATGATTCTGAAGATTCACTTAACATATCTGTATCACTTGCCAGTATCACAGTACCACTATCAGAGTCCAAACTAATATCTGAGTCACTATCACTGTCATCATTGGTTGAATCATTTGTTTTATTATTTTGATTATATGCAAAATTTTCATATTCATTTTGAGGATTTTTTTCAGTCATATAGAGAAATACTGGGCAACCTTCTTCAACAACATCATACTCAGCGAGTGTTGAATCATCATCCGTAGCAAAGCATTTGCCAAGTATCCAACGTTGAAGATATCTTGGATATCCAAATTGTCTTTCCAGCTACATATACATATAATAATATATAATGTCAATATATATAATTTATGTGATAAATGTAACAGTATTTACTTACTTTATCTTTCAGCATACCTAAAGTCATTGTTGGTGAAATTAATAATGGTATTAAGCCTTTATGAGATGACTTATCTTCTATATACAAACTCACCCTATATTAAAAGTTGTTTGTTTATATTACTTTAAATATTTGTTTGGTAATATCAAAATTAAAACAAATAAATCAAATATATAATTGAATAAACTACAAATAAATTAAATAATTATATATTTTCAAGAAAATATTTTAACTATGTTATTTAACAATGATTATTATTTCTGATTCCAGTATATGGTTGAAGGGATACTCAGGTAGAAAGGGAGATAGTTTGGTCACAAAACTTCCAAGAAGCCCAAGTTATAAGTGTTTTAAAATAAAAGGCAAGTGCAATGCTCACCCTTGAGTAATGGCAGGTTAAAGTAAATTATTGGATATACAGGGTGTCTCAAAAGTCACTCACTACCTATTTCAGTACATGTGTTTTAAAAAATGCTATGCTGTCATAACAATATGTATCTTTAGTACAAATTTGTATATGAAAAAAACATTAATTGGTTTATGTCAAATTTTGTGCAATTATTAAATTTTTCCATTCAGACCCATATCACTGATGAAGAACATGGAAGAATGAGAGTTTGTGGTAACATGCAAGATGAAAGAGTTGAATTGCAAGAAAATTAGATACAATTTTTTCATTAAGCTCATCAAATTAAGAGGAGTTGTATAAGAAAGGTCTAACAGACAAGGCTATTCATGAGTTTTTATGCTGGAAAGTATGTTCCAAAAAGCTTATTGCTTCAATCTTTGTAGAGACACTGACAGTTGCCACATGCAGCACTAATTTTTTGATGCTTATACTTTGAAATAAATATATTTTTCATGTTTAAACCAGTTTTTCATAATTCTAGTTATTTTTCATAATAAATAGCAACTTTTGAGATACCCTGTATGAATTTTAAAAAGTTTCTTCTCAAATTTATTGGACAAATTAAAAAATTGAAAAGTAATCTTTCTATAATTTATATTAAAACTACTTAAATGAAGACTAGATAATATTTAAGTAATTTAACAATTCCTTTACAAAATACAGTGGGTGATCAGTTAATGAACAGATCGGATAACGAACACTTTCGCGAAAGATTTTTATGATCGGATAACGAACACCCCACAGAACAAACACAAGAAGAAGTGACGTAAAATAATGAATACCGATTGGTCTTTCCTTGTCTTCGGGCAACAATTCGAAACTTCTTGGAGTGTGGGAGACGTCGAAATCGACGCTCAAGCCGGTATATACCGATTGGATAGCATTTCTTCGAACTTTGAAACTCTCCCTTGTAATTCCAGCCTTTTATTTTTCCGACAAAACAATTCTTTTATGTATTCGCGAGACTGTCGGGTAGGCGCTCGTTAAGTTTTGCATCTGTTTTTCTTTTTGAAAGGTGAGTATAATAGCAAAGGTAGAAAGTGGGCAGAAGATACCTAATGCTGCTGGGCAGTTTGGCGTGAACAGGTCTACAATAGGCCGCAGTTCAATCTTATCTAAGAAAAATACTGTATAATCAAGAAGACTCAAGCAGCTAAAGGAGTAACAAAAATCACATCTGAGAAATAAAGAACGTCGAAGAGTTCGTAATGGAACTGGAAACGGATCTGACGACAGAAGAATGCCAAGAACTCTTGAATGAAGAACACCAAGAAACTCGGCGAGATATATTTTCTTCTGAAAAAGAGGATTAATGACGATATCTGTTATTAATTAAAGATCCTTTGAAGAAGTGGGAGAATGTCAGAACAACAGTGTTAGAATGGCATCCAAACCAAGTTGAGGCTTGGGGATTTCTACAATTGCAATTACTTACGAAAAATTCTGAAGAAAAGAGAAAAGCAATCGACATTAGACAGATTCTTTAACCCTTTCAAACGGAAAAAACATGACTAATAAAAGCACAAGACTGTGTATGTATGTATTTTTATTATTACATATAAATAAACGTAGTAAGAAAGTATATAATTTTTATTTTTGAGGGTCTCCAGAATGAATTAATTAAATTCCCATTAAAACCTATGGTAAATCTATAATTGGTTAATGAACAATTCGGATAGAGAACAAAGTCTTGGAACAAATTATGTTCGTTAACCGATCACCCACTGTATAGACAACTAGCACTGATCTGAAAGTTTCTTTTCATAAATCTTTATTGTTTTTACTTGAGTTTTTGTTGATAAACTTAATTTCAAAATGAATATAATGCTTTTTGACTTTGTATAAGTCCAAAATAAAGCTTCATACCATACTTTACCTACTCTGTTATGGTAATCTAGTAAGCCTAGGTAAACTTAGATTTGTCAACAAATTTTGCTGGTAATAAGTACAAGTTTAACTTATAATCTGAAGACAGAAATTTCATACATAAATTTCCAAAAATTAATTTTTTATAAATTATACATATATAGGGTGTCCCAATTTAATCAATATACAAAATATCTTGAGAAATATGACAAAGAAAAAAAATGTTCAAATAAAATTTGTACTGTATCAAAAAATATACCATCCATGCTTTTCCAGTACTACTCCTTTATTAGAAAAAATGTTTTTGCTATTAAATACGTTGATTTAAACATTCAAAATACAGCTGAAACAATAATAAATTAAAATTGAAAATGTTTTTTTAATTTATGAGTCTAATAAACATTTTCAATTTGCACTGTTTTGCAAGGTAATGAAAAATGAATTAACTTTTGAATCATTCTATTTCCTTGTGACTTTTTACTGATTTGTTTTTATTTTTGTACAGTATTAAATACCCATATATTGTACATACTGAATAAATAGAATATGGTAAAAAAACAATCCTTCAACAATCCAGCAAATAAAATTTACTAAAATAAAAACATTTTTTATCATTTTAACTGATCTTCCTCAGTTACCATAAAATAGAATGTGAAAATAAAATGTAAATTTAAAAATAAATGAAAATGAGAATTCTGAAATAAATACATAAATAACTGAAAATGTAGCTGTGGACAATAAAATAAATAATTAAAGAAATAAAATAAATAACAAATAAATGTCTCTTAATAAAATTAATCTTCATAAAAAGACCGCCATGCGGTAGCCAATGTGTCTGAATCTCTACGGTTGATGCGACCGGTTTTTTTGTGTGCTTTAAAATTCTCCAATCTTTCAAGATATTTCATCGTGTGCATATTTGTTATTGGTTTGATAATTGATGCTTGCTCCCATTGGACATGAATGTCCTGTTGCCATGCATAAGCTGATAAGTGTGGTGTTATCAAGCTTCTTATCAATTGTATATTTATGCTCCTTGAGCCATTGTTGTAAGTTGTGCATTGTGACTAGTTTAGATTTGACCACATAGACTAGTTTAGATTTGAAACATTGGGCGTCTAATGGGATGGAGTAGATTTCTGTGGCCGAATTAGTTATATTGTTTTTTATCGTTCCTTAAAATTCTGAAAACCACAGGGTTGCATCAATATACTACTTGGAGATTATTAGCCTTAGCTGCCTTCTTATGTATTCCCCTTAAATATGGGATATAATTTAAAACCACCCTTTGTTTTTGGTCCAATGAGGTATGCTGATGTTTTGTTGTTCAAAAGGTTGTGATTAATTTCTCTATCATTTCCCTCGAGTATCCTTGTTGTTCTTAAGATGTAATTTAGCTCTGTTACTGTGTCATTTATGCTTGTACAATGCATATAAGCTCTTCTTATCCACGATCTAAAGGCTACCAATTTAATGTGAAGAGGATCGACAGAGTTATGTGGAATTAAAATGGGTTGAAAACATGGTTTTCTATATATGTTGGTCCAAATTTCTCCATGTTTGCAAGCAATGGAAATGTCCACAAAAATTTACAGTAATTTCACTTTTCTGGTCTAATTTGTAGGAATAATCCATAGAAGTTATCATTGATCGCTTCCAAAAATTGCTGTAGGTCTGGTTTTCTCTGCCATAGGATGAATATATTGTCCACGTATCTACCGTATAAAATAATAAGGTGTAATAAATTATTAACACAAATAAATTAACACAGTATTTATGTATTTATTTCAAAATTCTCATTTTCATTTATTTTTAAATTTATGTTCTATTTTCAAGTTCTATTTTATGATAACTGAGGAAGATCAATTAAAGTGATCAAAAACATTTTTATTTTAGTAAATTTTATTTGCTGGATTGTTAAAGGTGTGAGTGAAGATCTTATTGCTGTTCTTTCCCAACTCCGTCTCGTTGAGTTGGTTTCCTGTGTATCACGATTCGGTGTAGTGAATCAGGTTCGTTGGAAAGCACACCTCCACACTCAAATTGAATATATTTACAGTTTATTTACAGTTGTGGAAAGTAAAAGTTAGAAAACATAGTATATGTACAGGATAACCATACGTGCAGGATATTCACGTGCCAGATTGGCGTCTGGGAACTAATAACCTTTGGAGAGACCTCAGTCAGCTTGTGGAGTCGGCTCAACTGCACGGTCGGTCCAGTCTCTGCACTAACCCGTCCCTGAGATGATTAACAGAGGAGAACACTCTCTCTACGCTCAGTGGGCTTCCCAAATGCCTGAGATTACCATGTACCAGTCTCTTGCCCTTCTCTCCTACTCTCTCGTTCGCCCCGCAATTTAAGGATTTTTGGAACGGGGACTTCCGACCAATCACAACCCTTATTTATGCCAGAACAGCTTACACTCAGGTCTGCCGTCATCCGACTAGAGTGAAGCTTACACAAACATCCGTCACTTGTTTACGTTCGTTTTGTTTACCATATGGCAAATGTACTACCATCTGACTGCAGGTAGGTTCAATTAACAAAGCCGGCACTTCCTTTGTCTTCCATCTGTTTACAAGACAACACCTTACAAGTGGTATATTGCCCGACCGCATGTGGGTCCAATTGGCAAGGTCACGTCTCTTTTGTTCCCACTCTGCTAAAAGGTCAATACTTTACAGTGTGTTTTTTATTGTACTAAATACATAAGAAATATAATAACATTGCAAAGCCCGAGTAGTATACAATAAATCACCAAACGATATTTAGGTGATCGTTTGGTGACATAAGAAATAGTTTTCTAATTTAATTAGTTAATTTTAAAAATTAGAAATTGCAGTAGCTTAATAGCACATTCATTATATTTATAAATCTCTAACAAATAATAGTAACTTAATGTAAATTCTGTAAGACAAAAATTATAAATAAAATCAAAGACTATATTTTCACTATTTCTAAAACAGAAAAGGTCTGTATCATGAGACACATTCTAATTGGATGACAACATGAAATTATTTAAGTGTGATTTTAAAAAAAATTTATATTGTTTTTATATTTTTTAAAATTGAGACTATATATAGTTTCTGTATCACAAATAAATTAACACAGTAATTTAATATAATACTGCAACAGTAAGCAGAAGACAGTATAATAAATAGATATCATAATTAGATTTTCCTGGGACTCTGGCTGACATCCACCAGGAAACTAACAGTACTGTTGATTAGCTATCTGACTTGGATATTATTATATGACCTTCATTCTTGTATTTGCTTGTTATTTTCCATATAAATAAATAACATAAATTGCTAAATTATTACTAATGATTATAGATGAAATTCTGTAATTTGGTTTAAAAGTAAGACTTAGACTGCCAACTTTTACTGAAAATAATTAAATAATTAAAATATTCTGGAGGAAAAGATCAGCATGGAGCAAAAATCAAACTTACAACTTTTAATTATTGTGCAGTTATGCTATCTGGATCTCCATCTGATCTTTGCTTCCAGATATATATTAGTTAAAAACATATACACACACAAGTTAATTGCTATGCTGGCTGAATCATAATTACGGAGAGCTTTTGACTCTCCATAGTTATCAACTGGCTTCCAGGATTTGTCCAAGCATGATATATAAATAAAATATAAAAAAAACCAAGCTCAATTTACTATTAATAGCCAGGTTCTTAAGCTTTAATTTAACTAGTTATCATTAAATCATTAGGTTAATCACAACCAAAGAATCTAGCAGTTAATATTTTGTTATCAAATAAAAAATTATTTGGTCATCAATTAAAATAAAATTTAATTTAAACAAAAAATTTCAACTTTTACATTTAAATTAGTGAAAGTTTAAAACAGAAGTTTTCACCAATTTAAATTTGTTTTAGTGTATCAAGGATGAATTAAATATATAATCTAAAAAGGTAAAAAATAATGATAATTACATCAATAAGAATGCTTACAACAATAAATAGTCACATTATATCGTTGGACTATTATTATTTACAAATTATTCTAAAATAACTTTTTTTCAAATTTGTTCTTATAACAATTTATGAAATGGCCAATGATAGTTTTAAAATATAAATTTTATGTGTTAGTTGATATCTATATATGATTTTATATACTGCATTACATGTTAAAGAAATTCTTAACTAAAAATATCTAAAATTCAACATCATATATGAAAGACTAAAATTATGACTACTGTAATTAGTTATTTAACTTAATATTATATAATACTGTAAATTTTTAGACATTAAGTCTGCTATATAATTTATATATTTGATGTAATTTTATGGCATAAACACATCATACTTCTATATTTTATGCATGTTTTATATTAGATATAAAAGTTTACTTACCATATTTTTCTATTATATTTTTTTGGTATTGCTCCATATTCATCTATTTTTTCTAACGAATCTGTAATTTATAATTTATTATTTTTTTATCTAATAACTGAAAAGTACTTGAAAAAGAGAAGAAGGACACTTACTTTTTTTATTTTGGCAAGATGACAAATTTTGATTATAATTTTCAGAATTAGGTATTGGTGGAGCCCGATATGATTTCCTGTAATTATGATTTCTGATTAGCCTTTGATTTCTAATTGGCTTTTTTGCTTCTAAGTTCAAATCATTTTCATTAAAACTAGTTTTCTTGAATCTATCTTTTTGATTAATATATTCCTGGTTTCTTGCATGTTTATGTGCAGCAATATAATAATTGCAAGGTCCTTGAGGAAGAGCATCAATTTTTGTTGCTAATTTTACTGATTCTCTTGATTTAATTCCATTTTCAAAAGTCACTTTTTTATTATTTTTATTCACTAAACAACTTTTCAAAGGTTTATTGATTTTATAACTTTCTTCTAACTTTGTTGCTTTGACTTTATTTATATTAAAATCCATTGGAGCATATTTCCATTTTGTAGGAAGTGATTTTAAGTCGTATTCATCACAATCGGTAACCGATTCCTGAACTCGATTTATCTTTAAATTATTTTCTGATGAAATTCTAGGATTAGGTAAATCTAAATCTGAGTTTCTTTGAGTTAAATAATTAAAAGCAGCAATAAAATCACTAACACTTGGTCTGGATTTAAGCAATTCTTCAAGTTCAGTAAATTGTTCAGATCTTTTATTTATCTGATAAGAATATTTACTTTTATAATTTTTATGACTACAATCTTTTATTAAAGGATTTTGGTGTCTGTTAAACATCATTTTTCTATGAATGTTATCACCTACGTACTCATCATTTTCATTTGTTAGCCAATGTGGATTTGAACATGAACACATTAAAATAGGATTACTGTGAGATTTGGTGCACAAATTAATTTTTCTTTTGGGAAGTTCATTAAAATGATTTTGATCAAAATGTTCAATGGTTTCAAAATTAGGTGAACAATTACATCTACATTTTCTTTGCTGAGGAAGAGGTAATACAAAGTCATGGTTTTGACTGATCCTGACATTATTAGAAATGCAAGCTCCAGCTATATCCTTTTCACAACAATGATGAAAACCATTTTCATGCAATTTGATTTCCTCATTATAATTTTCATCTTTTTTACCAATACTAAAATAACCCAAAACTGTAACATTATATGAATCAGCATCTTTCGATAAAGTAGGACAAACAAAATGAGGAATGTTTATATATTTAAAATTATCTTCTTTACACATTGCACAGTTACATATACAAAGTTCTTTATTTTCAATAGAGTTTTTAACAACATTGCTTCTCGAAAATTCTTCTAGTTGATCTCCATTAACATTTACAATTTCATTAAAATTGTTTGATATATTTATTGAAGAATAAGAACTAGATTTAGAAGAAAGTGGTGGTTTAGGAGCTGGTTTCTTTTTTGGAGATTTACGTTTTTTGGGTGTATTTTTTCCACCTACATTTAAATCATTAATTTTCTTTTCTTCTAAAACTCTTGCATATCTTCCTTGACAAATTACAGAAATCTCTTGTTTTTGAACTGGATTAGGTACTTCTTGACTAATTTGTTGGGAATTTATTGAAAGTTGATTAAATGTATATAGTTTACCTATTGCTGTAGGCAGATCATCAATTTTATTTACTTCTATTTCTTTTGAATCATTAATTTGAGGATGTGTTTTCTCAGATAAATTAGTTACATTTGGAGGTAATGGTGCTTTCCTTTTCTTTCTCTTGATACATCGTACTGAATTCTTAATGGCAGTTTTTTCAGAAGATTGTGCAGATGTAGTACAACAAATTACTTCACCTGGATTTAAAACAGAATTTGTAGTAAATACTGTTCTCTCAGTTTCTTTTCTGTTAGAAGAATCATCTGCAATACTGTCTGAAGGTCTACTTTTTTCAGATGTATTTGATGTTTTTTCACATGGAATATATATTTCATTTTCCATAAATGTTGCAGTTATTTTCTTTTTCCTTTGTCTATATGAACCTCCTAAAGTAAAACATGACATCAATACATGAAATCCACCTTTATACTCAATATCATTATCAGAATCAATAACAGTCCATTCTTCAGTAGAAACAACTGCAGGACAACTTGCTATTGAAGGAGTGCTATTCCTTCTAGATTTAATTAATTTTGGACTTCCTGTAGATTGATCTGAATTAATGGTATTTTGTTTCTTTATTTTTTTCTTTTGAGTCCTTTTAAGTGAGCCAATTAACAATGATCTTGCTGATTTTTGTTTTTCATGGTTTTCTTCTATCAAATTAGATATTTCACCACCTTTATTTTTACACTTGCATAAATCATATGAAGTTTTATTTTTATTGCATTTCTGAGAGAAAAATAAAGAATTAATAAAATTTAGTATAACTTTTGATAGTAATATTTAATATAAAAATGAATTTAATTTCTATCATTCTACATTTCTTAATAATGCTTTCCAACTATAATGTCAATTTAATCATTTATTAGTACAGATTCTAGTTTTCTTTAAAAGGCATGAATATAAAATGCATTCTTGTTATAATAGTATTTTTTCAAAATTGTCATATAAAAACTTTTATAAATTTTAATTAAATTACTAGGAAAAAATGCTTAATTCAAGAGCCAAAGCAAAATTTTTTATTTAGAAATCTTTTCTTTCTCTTAAAAGAACATCCTCAGCTGAAAAATTTTGAGAATGAAAATATTTTTAAATAAAAAATTTTGTTTTGGCTCCTGAATTTAGCATTTTTTATTCTAAATAATTTGATTATGGTGTCAACTACAAATGTTTTTACTGTTGAAATTTTCATTATTAAACAATTTAGACTGAGTTTTGTTAAATAAGCAAAAGAGATATTAAATATTTATAACAAATATTACAAGCATGTACATAAAATGTCACATCTAGTCACTTGAGATGCAGTACATATTTTTCACATATTAATGTGAAAAATATATATAATTATTTTGCCTAATTAAAATATTATTGTTAACAAAACAAATTTAATAATAAAAAGATATGAATTTTATCTCAATGTTAATTCATATAAATTTATTAACTAAAGATGCAAAATTCATCAAATCTTAAAAATCCTTGTATATTTTAACAGGAAACATGCATTATTAATAATTATTTCTAATATTAATAGTTTAATTTCTTAAATTTAAAAATACTTTATAAATTTTAATTAAACAGTTAGTTTGTCTATAATTTAACTGTTATAAAAAAATTGATTAGTTACCTTTTAATAGCTTTCTTACATGCATCACAAACTGTACAAAATGGCATGCAGTTTTGATCCACAAATTAAATTTCTACATATTAATCATCATTGAATTAATCTTTTTAACTGTAGAGGATTATCTAAAAATAAAATATACCACTATTCATATATATAAATTTTTGTTGTTTTTAAACATTAAAAGTCAATGAAGAATAACATGTATCATTAATCTGAAATTTCCTTTCTAATTTAGCCATCTGTTGATTTAAAATTTACTAAATTTAATTGTTCTGTCTTAAGAGATGACAAACATTAGGATCAGTTTATTGAAATAAAATAAAATTTTACATATTTTTTACTTACCTATTTTAAAACTTGCACACTTGTTTAATTATTGTTAAATTTACTAATTATATATACTTTATAACCATTAAAAGAAACAGATAAAAATTTGGCTGAGAAAAGTTATTTTTTTTTATTCATATAGAAAAAATTTATTTTTAACAATTACTTTAAAATAAGGTTCATATTAGATAAATATAACATTAATAAAACATCTTGATCCAGTAAGAAATATTTAATTAGATGAAACTTTTTGACATATTTAACAGTACATTTCATGATACACAAAAAATTAATACAAAATATACATTATATATTTGAACATGAAACAAAATGTTCATTTAATTAAAAATGTGTTATTGGATCATGATATTGATCTTATTAATTAGTTTATAAAGTTTAAATTATTTTTTAAAAATTTAAAAATTATACACAATTATAAATATTAATATATAATTTTATAATTACATATATTAATATTTTATATATGAATGTTCTTTAAAGTTCTATTCTAACAATCAGAACTTAGTTGTCAGAAATATCTTCATATTAAGTATTGTACTACTCATTGTTGTTATTAATTAATTCAATTCACATATGTACAAGGTCTGTTCAAAAAGTATCGGACCTTTTTTTTCCGCGTAAACCAATGATGCGCGAGAGGCCTCCTTCAGTGGAGTTGTGGAGGGGACAGTCATGCACAGCCCTGAATTTTTTCCCGCCTGCAGAAAGCGTCAGTCGTTGGCAATCGGCGTATGAGTGAGGTCATGTAGTGCGCTCTCGTCGGATTTCACTAAGCTGGAAAATGACTGAACAACGTGAGCAGCGATATTACATCAAATTTTGCCAAAAACCTTGGCGATACCCGAGTGTAAACCATTCGCAAGATTCAGCAGGCTTTCGGGGACGATCCTCGAGGCCAAAAAAAGCGCGGCAGGTCCGCAGCAATATCAAAGGTCATGTTGACAGTTTTTTCGACTCTCGTGGGGTGGTGTGTCGTGAGTACGCACCACAAGGCCAAACCATCGCAAAGGAGTACTACCAGGAGGTCCTTCGTCGTCTTTCCGATACAGTGCGACGCAAACGACCGGATCTGTGGTCGATCAAAACTTGGCAGCTCCATCGTGATAACGCATCCGCCCATTCTGCGCATCTGATTCGGGCTTTCGTCGCCAAACACAATACTCCTGTGGTTCGTCACGCTCCGTACTCTCCCCACATGGCTCCGTGTGACCTTTGGCTATTTCCCAAGCTGAAAATGCCGCTAAAAGGAACCCGAATTTAGTCGAGAGAAGACATAGTGCAGAATCTGACGGACCGGCTGATGGCCATTCCAAAAGATGCGTTCCAGCAGTGTTTCCAGCAATGGCAGGAACGCTGGGAGAAGTGTATACATTACCAAGGAAACTACTTTGAAGGGGATTAGGGTTTTGTACCTCAAAATCAATAAATTTATTTTTGCCGACCAAAGGTCCGATACTTTTTGAACAGACCTCGTATGTATGTATGTACACACATACAAGAATTGTCAATATACAGTTTCTAAAAAGCATAACTGATAAAGTGATGTTATATTGGGCATGAACTAATACATCACATGTGAGATACATTCCAGACTAACTAAAAAAACAATCTGAATTTTTTGTATGGAAGTAATAAATAATAGTTGTCACTCATATGCCTATGAATATGATTTACTATTTACTTGTTATTTACATTTTTACTTCATGATACATTCTCTAAAATTATGATTTACAGTATTGTATAATATACTGTCCTGCTATACAGTTTTAATATTTATTTGTTGTTTTAAACATTTAATACATAATTATTATTGTACTTGTACTATGATATGTACAGTAGTTTATGTCCTTTACAAACTGTTGCAATTAAATGCATAATTTGCATTTTAGTATGAAAAGGAGAACTACTGTCTTTAATGAAAACTATGTATTTAAAATGACATATGTCAAGAATCTTCTGAAATAAATTATAGAATTGTTTTTATGAATGCATTCTTATGCCTATAAAACAATAAACTGTCTATATTTTCTTACTCAAAATTATTATGATAAATTTATGGAAGGTCAAAAGTGTGAGTGTCACACTTTTAAATATATACATATGAATATTCTCTTCCAGAAAAGTAATAAACTTTTCTATTTGTTTACAGTATTTGATATGCAATGGATTTTAGCATCTGCAGTAATGTTCAATTTTTACTATAAAACTTAAATAAAATATTAAATAAAAAATACTAAACTTTTTAAAATGTATAAGAGTTTTAATTCCTATTTTAGCTAAACACATCAATCAGATTATTTTAGAAATGAAATTATTATTTGAAAGATAAATTTTAATTTAGCAATTTTTACATTCAATATTTGAACAAACATTATTTATTAACAAATGGAATAAAATTAGAAATTGCTGTTTCAACTAAATTATAAATGCAAATTTAGTTTTATAGAAATAATGTCTTGATCATATAATAAAACAAGAAATATAGATAAAAATTTATTTGCATTTCACATTTTTGTTTAGCTAATCAAAGTATCATTATATTATGTTATTTTAGGTAATAATATAAAAATAATACAATAGAGCATCGATTATCCGAATCAACTGGGGACTGGGATTGTTCGGAAAATCGATTTTTCAGATAACTGATTATGTATGAAAAAATATATTAATCTATGTTGAAATTCGTTCAAATCCTAGCAATGGGAATGAAGGGGGTGGTACCCTCTCACGGTCATGCCAGTGCTGCCAGCTAAAATACACAAAAATAATATCGGAGTATCCCAAGACATAGCCAAAGATTGCAGTGCCACAGCACTAGTGGAAATTTAAATTTGCCAACTGGAAAGCTTTCAGTTAATTGACGTTTCAGTTGATTGACATTTGGATAATCGACGCTCTATATAAATAATATATGTATATATATTATTTATATACAATATATAAATATATANACACTTTTTCATTTTATAACGTTTGCCAGCTTAATAAGCAAAAAAGTTAAAACTTATTTATAAATGTAAATAAATATTCAAACATTTAAACATTACCTTTAAAATTGTAGTAGTGTAATTGAACATTTTTTGTTTTAATAAAATTATGCAATTTTGCTGCATTAACATTATTTACATTTATAAAATTGTTTATTTCCAATTTTCTAAACAAAATTTAACTTATTTAAAATAATTTTATTTTATATATAGTCAAACCTCAGGTTACGAATGCCCTGTTTATGAACAATTCGATTTACAAACAAAATTTGAATGCCATATTTGATCTGATTACTGTACAATAACTCAGTTTCTGAACAAGATACTCAGCAAAGTTGGCCACTGATTGTCATCTTCCTCTACTTCCTATGTTAAAGAAAGCTGATGGCCAACCAATCAATGACAGGAATACCAATTCAACAGTAGCACTAAGATTTGCCTCATGTCATTAGATGTCACAACACGAACCATTGATGATATTGTTATTCAAATTAGATTTCAATGCGCATGCAAGTAATACTTCCAATTTTCAGTACATGCCACAATTCAGTTTAAATCAAATTAATTAATAAAAACTGTATTAATTGACATTCATGTAATATAAATGACATCCAATAATTCATATATAATAGTGCTTAACTCAAATTAAATAACAAAAATTTATTAATGTACTATATAGTATAATATTAATGTTTAATAAAATATTTATTAATACCAGGTAACCAGTTAATTAAAATTACATTCTNTTACTAAGTCAAACTCTCAAGCATTCCAAAGTATAATCCTCCTTTTTCAACATTATTTTGAATTTATTAATTAGATCATTTTTATTCACATTGAAAACAATGACAGATGATAGATTTTTCTGTTATAGTTTTTTGTACTACTACAGTAGTACAAAAAACTATAACAGAAAAATCTATCATCTGTCATTGTTTTCAATGTGAATAAAAATGATCTAATTAATAAATTCAAAATAATGTTGAAAAAGGAGGATTATACTTTGGAATGCTTGAGAGTTTGACTTAGTAAAAGGCAAATGATTTGGAATAAAGTAGCAAAGTTAATTATTATATGTCAGAAACAGCTAACAAAGTGCATAATTTCTTATTATTTTCTACTATTACATGTTAGTAATGAGAAACAAACTCTTACATATTTAAATACGAAGTGATGATTCCAGTTTTAACAATTTTGTGAATAGAAAAATGAAAATCCATACACTTAACAAATGAGGATCAGACCTGAATAACAACAGTTCCATAGGATGATGATTTTACTCCACTTACTGCTATTTGGAATACAGTCATACCTTGGGTTTTGAACATCTTGGTTTTCAAGCAAATTGTTCAAAGACCAAATCCTTGAACAATTTTGAACTTGTATTTGCCCTGGTTGCCATATGATAACTCAGTTGTGGCTCAGAAGATTAGAGAGACAAGTGGTCAATTCCCTATACTTCCTACGTATGTTAAAGAAAGTTGATGGCCTTATCAACCAATGACAGGACTACTGATTCAGAAGTTAGTGTTGCCAAGATTGCTTACATCATTAGACATCATGAGACGAATCATTGACAATGTTGCTATTTAAATTAGATATTAATGTACATATGGGAAATATACTATTTCTGTTTTTTGGTACATACTGCACTTGAATCTGAATCAAATTAATTAATAAAAATCATGTAAATTGACATTCACTAGTGTAAATGGCATCTGAGAATTTATGTTTAAGTTGTCATGGCTTAAGTTAAATAACAAAAATTTATCACTATTATAATATATATTATAATATTGATATTTAATATTTATTAATACTAGGTAGCCAGTCAATTAAAACTAATAATAATAAAATAATAAATAAAACTCTGGCCTTTATGCAAAAACTTGAAACTAAAAATAAAATCAAAATTAATTAATTAGTTAAAATCAATGTATCATAATAAAATCATAATTTTGTTGCTTGACGATGCCCATTTAACATGAGCGAAAATGTTTGCACATTGTGTATAATTTTATTGCTGGTTTTGTTGTTGCAGTGTTTATTTTTGTAAAATCAAAACAATTGAAACAGTATTTTGGAAAGTATGGATAAAGTACTTGTCTATCTTGATTGATTTGGTTATATTTCATCCAGGCAGAGTCAAGTCTCTATTTATAGCACTTTTTGTTAAATACAAAATGTATATAGATATGGATATAAATAATATTATATTGCATTTGTAGACATTTTTATGCATGAAATGCTGCTTAAAATTTTAAAAAAAGCTTTGTTTTGAGGATCAGATACAAATGAATCAATTTTACATTGTTTCTTATGGAAAAATTTGTTTTGGTTTGAGAACTAATCAGTTTCCAAACAACATTTAGNTATATTGCATTTGTAGACATTTTTATGCATGAAATGCTGCTTAAAATTTTAAAAAAAGCTTTGTTTTGAGGATCAGATACAAATGAATCAATTTTACATTGTTTCTTATGGAAAAATTTGTTTTGGTTTGAGAACTAATCAGTTTCCAAACAACATTTAGGAAGAAATTAAGTTCACAAACCTAGGTTTGACTGTATATTATTTAATTCTTTGAAAAAAGAAATCAGAAATATTTTACCAGATACATCTATATTATAGTCATTTTCATAATCTTCAGCTTTCAGCAAACCTATCAAAGGCAGAAAAAACGCATGATTTTCTTTTGCAGTAAAATATCTTTTACCATTTAATTCACCATTCCCATGACCAATGGGATCATCCTGTATATATTAAAAAAATTAAATTTAATGAAACTGTTCACAATAAAAAAACTTTCTAAATAAGAATAACATACAAATTCTATGCCAGCAGTCCAATCAGCACAAATGAATGGTATTCTTCCTATCCATTTGGTAGTTCCTTTATTTAATTCTTTATCTTCATGTAACCACACCACCCTTTCTCCAAGAGATAAAACTGGTGCTTCAGGTTCTTCTTGAAATACAATATTAACATCCAGAAATGCAATTCCTGTAAAATTTTTACAAATTTAGTTTTAGTAAATATTTTATTTTTCTATCTCAAATTTCAATAAACAGTAGTCAAATTTGTGTTTAAATATTTTTAAAAATTAGTAAATTAATTTATATTTTAACTGTAAAAAATAGTTTGATACTGAAACTAATAAATGTAATTATGTAAATTATAGAAGAACTGTAATCATTTTGGGACTCACCTAGATGATAATAACTAAATGATAACAATAAGAACAGTAAATAAAATTACAATGAGTGGAAATTCTAATTTTACTGACATTAAAAAGAAATGTTCAAACTATTAAAAATGTATAAATAACTCTGATTTAAGCTAGTTATAATTATTATTAATTAATAGTAGTTCATCCAGTAGTTCATTTGCTTACTGTCGATTTTCACTATCATCTCTAAGAACAGTTATCTTATCATTGAAGTAATGCAAACAATTTAAATTATCATTATATGTGCAAATATATTAAAATATTTAATGTTGAAGCACTGGATTATAACTGATAATGATAACTAATGACCATTATGAATGGTCAATCATATATTGAAGTTGATAGGCATGGTTAATCTGTCTTTTCATGTTATTTATCTGAAGATAATGATAGCTATAACTAAATTCTTATTAAAATGGTGTATTTTAACTTATATGTTTTGAAATGTTTAATTCTATCAGAATTGGCATAACTGATAACAAAGTCTGTGATTAGAATAAGTTGATTCTACTGTATGTGTAAATTAATGTAAACTTATTTTTCATTTGTCAATAAAATAATATGAAATAAATTTATAACTGAAAGTGTTTTTCTTGTTTATAATTATCAAAAATATCTAATATACTTATCATAAATTATCTAATTATCTAATATCTAATTATCATTTATTATTTGAAAGATAAATTTTAATTTAGCAATTTTTACATTCAATATTTGAACAAACATTATTTATTAACAAATGGAATAAAATTAGAAATTGCTGTTTCAACTAAATTATAAATGCAAATTTAGTTTTATAGAAATAATGTCTTGATCATATAATAAAACAAGAAATATAGATAAAAATTTATTTGCATTTCACATTTTTTTTAAGCTAATCAAAGTATCATTATATTATGTTATTTTAGGTAATAATATAAAAATAATACAATAGAGCATCGATTATCCGAATCAACTGGGGACTGGGATTGTTCGGAAAATCGATTTTTCAGATAACTGATTATGTATGAAAAAATATATTAATCTATGTTGAAATTCGTTCAAATCCTAGCAATGGGAATGAAGGGGGTGGTACCCTCTCACGGTCATGCCAGTGCTGCCAGCTAAAATACACAAAAATAATATCGGAGTATCCCAAGACATAGCCAAAGATTGCAGTGCCACAGCACTAGTGGAAATTTAAATTTGCCAACTGGAAAGCTTTCAGTTAATTGACGTTTCAGTTGATTGACATTTGGATAATCGACGCTCTATATAAATAATATATGTATATATATTATTTATATACAATATATAAATATATACATATATTATATACATATATATATCCTGTATTTGCTTGTTATTTTCCATATAAATAAATAACATAAATTGCTAAATTATTACTAATGATTATAGATGAAATTCTGTAATTTGGTTTAAAAGTAAGACTTAGACTGCCAACTTTTACTGAAAATAATTAAATAATTAAAATATTCTGGAGGAAAAGATCAGCATGGAGCAAAAATCATACTTACAACTTTTAATTATTGTGCAGTTATGCTATCTGGATCTCCATCTGATCTTTGCTTCCAGATATATATTAGTTAAAAACATATACACACACAAGTTAATTGCTATGCTGGCTGAATCATAATTACGGAGAGCTTTTGACTCTCCATAGTTATCAACTGGCTTCCAGGATTTGTCCAAGCATGATATATAAATAAAATATAAAAAAAACCAAGCTCAATTTACTATTAATAGCCAGGTTCTTAAGCTTTAATTTAACTAGTTATCATTAAATCATTAGGTTAATCACAACCAAAGAATCTAGCAGTTAATATTTTGTTATCAAATAAAAAATTATTTGGTCATCAATTAAAATAAAATTTAATTTAAACAAAAAATTTCAACTTTTACATTTAAATTAGTGAAAGTTTAAAACAGAAGTTTTCACCAATTTAAATTTGTTTTAGTGTATCAAGGATGAATTAAATATATAATCTAAAAAGGTAAAAAATAATGATAATTACATCAATAAGAATGCTTACAACAATAAATAGTCACATTATATCGTTGGACTATTATTATTTACAAATTATTCTAAAATAACTTTTTTTCAAATTTGTTCTTATAACAATTTATGAAATGGCCAATGATAGTTTTAAAATATAAATTTTATGTGTTAGTTGATATCTATATATGATTTTATATACTGCATTACATGTTAAAGAAATTCTTAACTAAAAATATCTAAAATTCAACATCATATATGAAAGACTAAAATTATGACTACTGTAATTAGTTATTTAACTTAATATTATATAATACTGTAAATTTTTAGACATTAAGTCTGCTATATAATTTATATATTTGATGTAATTTTATGGCATAAACACATCATACTTCTATATTTTATGCATGTTTTATATTAGATATAAAAGTTTACTTACCATATTTTTCTATTATATTTTTTTGGTATTGCTCCATATTCATCTATTTTTTCTAACGAATCTGTAATTTATAATTTATTATTTTTTTATCTAATAACTGAAAAGTACTTGAAAAAGAGAAGAAGGACACTTACTTTTTTTATTTTGGCAAGATGACAAATTTTGATTATAATTTTCAGAATTAGGTATTGGTGGAGCCCGATATGATTTCCTGTAATTATGATTTCTGATTAGCCTTTGATTTCTAATTGGCTTTTTTGCTTCTAAGTTCAAATCATTTTCATTAAAACTAGTTTTCTTGAATCTATCTTTTTGATTAATATATTCCTGGTTTCTTGCATGTTTATGTGCAGCAATATAATAATTGCAAGGTCCTTGAGGAAGAGCATCAATTTTTGTTGCTAATTTTACTGATTCTCTTGATTTAATTCCATTTTCAAAAGTCACTTTTTTATTATTTTTATTCACTAAACAACTTTTCAAAGGTTTATTGATTTTATAACTTTCTTCTAACTTTGTTGCTTTGACTTTATTTATATTAAAATCCATTGGAGCATATTTCCATTTTGTAGGAAGTGATTTTAAGTCGTATTCATCACAATCGGTAACCGATTCCTGAACTCGATTTATCTTTAAATTATTTTCTGATGAAATTCTAGGATTAGGTAAATCTAAATCTGAGTTTCTTTGAGTTAAATAATTAAAAGCAGCAATAAAATCACTAACACTTGGTCTGGATTTAAGCAATTCTTCAAGTTCAGTAAATTGTTCAGATCTTTTATTTATCTGATAAGAATATTTACTTTTATAATTTTTATGACTACAATCTTTTATTAAAGGATTTTGGTGTCTGTTAAACATCATTTTTCTATGAATGTTATCACCTACGTACTCATCATTTTCATTTGTTAGCCAATGTGGATTTGAACATGAACACATTAAAATAGGATTACTGTGAGATTTGGTGCACAAATTAATTTTTCTTTTGGGAAGTTCATTAAAATGATTTTGATCAAAATGTTCAATGGTTTCAAAATTAGGTGAACAATTACATCTACATTTTCTTTGCTGAGGAAGAGGTAATACAAAGTCATGGTTTTGACTGATCCTGACATTATTAGAAATGCAAGCTCCAGCTATATCCTTTTCACAACAATGATGAAAACCATTTTCATGCAATTTGATTTCCTCATTATAATTTTCATCTTTTTTACCAATACTAAAATAACCCAAAACTGTAACATTATATGAATCAGCATCTTTCGATAAAGTAGGACAAACAAAATGAGGAATGTTTATATATTTAAAATTATCTTCTTTACACATTGCACAGTTACATATACAAAGTTCTTTATTTTCAATAGAGTTTTTAACAACATTGCTTCTCGAAAATTCTTCTAGTTGATCTCCATTAACATTTACAATTTCATTAAAATTGTTTGATATATTTATTGAAGAATAAGAACTAGATTTAGAAGAAAGTGGTGGTTTAGGAGCTGGTTTCTTTTTTGGAGATTTACGTTTTTTGGGTGTATTTTTTCCACCTACATTTAAATCATTAATTTTCTTTTCTTCTAAAACTCTTGCATATCTTCCTTGACAAATTACAGAAATCTCTTGTTTTTGAACTGGATTAGGTACTTCTTGACTAATTTGTTGGGAATTTATTGAAAGTTGATTAAATGTATATAGTTTACCTATTGCTGTAGGCAGATCATCAATTTTATTTACTTCTATTTCTTTTGAATCATTAATTTGAGGATGTGTTTTCTCAGATAAATTAGTTACATTTGGAGGTAATGGTGCTTTCCTTTTCTTTCTCTTGATACATCGTACTGAATTCTTAATGGCAGTTTTTTCAGAAGATTGTGCAGATGTAGTACAACAAATTACTTCACCTGGATTTAAAACAGAATTTGTAGTAAATACTGTTCTCTCAGTTTCTTTTCTGTTAGAAGAATCATCTGCAATACTGTCTGAAGGTCTACTTTTTTCAGATGTATTTGATGTTTTTTCACATGGAATATATATTTCATTTTCCATAAATGTTGCAGTTATTTTCTTTTTCCTTTGTCTATATGAACCTCCTAAAGTAAAACATGACATCAATACATGAAATCCACCTTTATACTCAATATCATTATCAGAATCAATAACAGTCCATTCTTCAGTAGAAACAACTGCAGGACAACTTGCTATTGAAGGAGTGCTATTCCTTCTAGATTTAATTAATTTTGGACTTCCTGTAGATTGATCTGAATTAATGGTATTTTGTTTCTTTATTTTTTTCTTTTGAGTCCTTTTAAGTGAGCCAATTAACAATGATCTTGCTGATTTTTGTTTTTCATGGTTTTCTTCTATCAAATTAGATATTTCACCACCTTTATTTTTACACTTGCATAAATCATATGAAGTTTTATTTTTATTGCATTTCTGAGAGAAAAATAAAGAATTAATAAAATTTAGTATAACTTTTGATAGTAATATTTAATATAAAAATGAATTTAATTTCTATCATTCTACATTTCTTAATAATGCTTTCCAACTATAATGTCAATTTAATCATTTATTAGTACAGATTCTAGTTTTCTTTAAAAGGCATGAATATAAAATGCATTCTTGTTATAATAGTATTTTTTCAAAATTGTCATATAAAAACTTTTATAAATTTTAATTAAATTACTAGGAAAAAATGCTTAATTCAAGAGCCAAAGCAAAATTTTTTATTTAGAAATCTTTTCTTTCTCTTAAAAGAACATCCTCAGCTGAAAAATTTTGAGAATGAAAATATTTTTAAATAAAAAATTTTGTTTTGGCTCCTGAATTTAGCATTTTTTATTCTAAATAATTTGATTATGGTGTCAACTACAAATGTTTTTACTGTTGAAATTTTCATTATTAAACAATTTAGACTGAGTTTTGTTAAATAAGCAAAAGAGATATTAAATATTTATAACAAATATTACAAGCATGTACATAAAATGTCACATCTAGTCACTTGAGATGCAGTACATATTTTTCACATATTAATGTGAAAAATATATATAATTATTTTGCCTAATTAAAATATTATTGTTAACAAAACAAATTTAATAATAAAAAGATATGAATTTTATCTCAATGTTAATTCATATAAATTTATTAACTAAAGATGCAAAATTCATCAAATCTTAAAAATCCTTGTATATTTTAACAGGAAACATGCATTATTAATAATTATTTCTAATATTAATAGTTTAATTTCTTAAATTTAAAAATACTTTATAAATTTTAATTAAACAGTTAGTTTGTCTATAATTTAACTGTTATAAAAAAATTGATTAGTTACCTTTTAATAGCTTTCTTACATGCATCACAAACTGTACAAAATGGCATGCAGTTTTGATCCACAAATTAAATTTCTACATATTAATCATCATTGAATTAATCTTTTTAACTGTAGAGGATTATCTAAAAATAAAATATACCACTATTCATATATATAAATTTTTGTTGTTTTTAAACATTAAAAGTCAATGAAGAATAACATGTATCATTAATCTGAAATTTCCTTTCTAATTTAGCCATCTGTTGATTTAAAATTTACTAAATTTAATTGTTCTGTCTTAAGAGATGACAAACATTAGGATCAGTTTATTGAAATAAAATAAAATTTTACATATTTTTTACTTACCTATTTTAAAACTTGCACACTTGTTTAATTATTGTTAAATTTACTAATTATATATACTTTATAACCATTAAAAGAAACAGATAAAAATTTGGCTGAGAAAAGTTATTTTTTTTTATTCATATAGAAAAAATTTATTTTTAACAATTACTTTAAAATAAGGTTCATATTAGATAAATATAACATTAATAAAACATCTTGATCCAGTAAGAAATATTTAATTAGATGAAACTTTTTGACATATTTAACAGTACATTTCATGATACACAAAAAATTAATACAAAATATACATTATATATTTGAACATGAAACAAAATGTTCATTTAATTAAAAATGTGTTATTGGATCATGATATTGATCTTATTAATTAGTTTATAAAGTTTAAATTATTTTTTAAAAATTTAAAAATTATACACAATTATAAATATTAATATATAATTTTATAATTACATATATTAATATTTTATATATGAATGTTCTTTAAAGTTCTATTCTAACAATCAGAACTTAGTTGTCAGAAATATCTTCATATTAAGTATTGTACTACTCATTGTTGTTATTAATTAATTCAATTCACATATGTACAAGGTCTGTTCAAAAAGTATCGGACCTTTTTTTTCCGCGTAAACCAATGATGCGCGAGAGGCCTCCTTCAGTGGAGTTGTGGAGGGGACAGTCATGCACAGCCCTGAATTTTTTCCCGCCTGCAGGAAGC